CCCCTTGAGAAGCAAAACCTCTCTTCAATGGATCCCAGCTCTCTTTAAAACCCATGTCCGCCTTCAGCCCGCTTGAGCGTCGTCCGTTTTGATGGGGAGAGCACCTTGTCGCTCTTCCTGGGGTCCCTTTATGAGCTGTCCAACAGGGGATCTTAAGAGGAAGCAAAGAAAAAGTGTGTGTTTTGTGGTTCCCTGAAAGGAGGCGAGGAGTCTGGAGCCCTCCTCGCTTTTCTTGTAAAAACTGAAACATTGCCCTAAGCTTGTTTATGTTTAGTTTTGCTGGGGGGGCTCAGAAAAGTTACTGTTTTAATTGCAACTCTCATAAACCTCCGGGGCAACAAAGCTCCGGGGGGGGCACATCTGGGAGTTGTCCTCTGTAGAGGGGTTTTGAGTATCAAGCCAAGGTCTTCCTTTGGAGGTCATCCCACTGGGGAGGAGGGGGGGCAAGCGGGAAGGATGGAAGGACCAGGCCGACCTGCTGGGTTCCAGGCGTCAGTCTGCAGGCAGACAGGGGGGGTAGGGGACAAAGGGAGGAAGAAACTGACCAAGGGACAGCTCCTGGGTGCTGACCTGGAGGGGGAAGAAAAAGGAAGGAAGCAAAAGCAGCCGCCTAGCTTTTTGGGAGGGGAGGCGTGGGGGCGCCTGCAGGGGAGTCTTCCCGGACCAGGCTGCAGGGAAAGAATGTGTGCCGTATATTCTGCGGCAGGATACTTGTGAATGTCTCAGATTCCTGTGGATGGCGGAGGGTTCCTGCCAATCTGAGCGTGGAGAGGGGCTGGGCAGAGATCAAGGAGCGGAGAGAGGAGGGTGCCCTTTCTCAGGTCAAGCCCCCCCCCAGTGCTGTATGAATTGAGGGGGGTGGGGGGAGGTGGTGCTGGAGCGGCTGCCACCCTGTGGTGCCGGTTGCCATTACAAGTCCCATCCTTGCCCGTCTGGCCACCCACCTGGGGAAGGCTGGGCAAGACTCAAGACAGCTCAGAAATAGGAGATGTTCCTCTTGGGTTCTGCCAGGGCCACTTCCTCTGAAATGCACACCTTGCACCCTACAGGGACCCAACATGTGGCGGCCACTGACTTTCTGAGGCTCCCACTTCCTTGGCGTAGGCATCAGAAACAAGAGGTGGAAAAGACTCCAGGCAGCCTGGCAGCAGGCTGGAGGTTCCCCTCAAAGCAAAGGAAAATGGCTTTTTTTGGACTCCACTTCCTGAAACTACCCTGCTGACAAAAGGGTTCCTGGAACGGTAATCCAGAAAAGCCACGACTTTCCCAACCTTACGCGCATCGACACAACACCTTTTGTGTTTCTACTTTCTTCTCTGGAAGTGAGAAACTGGAAGAGCTTTGGGCTAATCCTGCAAATACATGTTGGTGGGCTGAGCGACTGCCTCACAAGGGGTGATCCTTCTTGAAAAACCTCCTTCAGTTCTCCTTCAAAAAAAAAAAGGCCAATCTCGGATGTCTGTCTGTCTCCGGAATTAATTAGTCTCATCTCCTTATTTCCAGCTTGGCTTGGTAAACACCCGGCAGACCACCTGGGCCTCCGAGGGGCCTTTTCTGGTTGACAATAAGGTGCCTCCCTTCTCACACTCAGGCTGCGTGGCTACCCTTTGCGGTTTTGCACGTGTGTGTGTGTTTTTTAAAGGAAATTTTCTTCAGTTCTTTTGAAGAAAATATAATTTTTATGGGATACTGTTCTGTTTAAAAATGATAAACATCAAAATGTTATCAGTTGGGAGATTCTAACAAGAAGTAGGAAAAAGAGGAAGGAAAGGGATGTTTCAGCATTAGAACGGGGGTGGGGGTAGGTGAGCAGATGAACAGGACTTCTTCCACCCACCCCCCCCCCCCCGCTGTATTCTAGTACACTGGAACCAGAGTTTGAACACACAGAACACCATCTTTAATTATCTGACTCAGTGGCTCCCCAACCTGGAGAGGTCCCCAGATGTTCTTGGACTCCAGTTCCCAGAAGCCTTCACTGTTAGCTGAGCTGGCCAGGATTTCTGGGAGCTGTAGTCCAAGGACGCCTGGGGATCCAAGGGCGGGAACCTCTGGAATAGACCCATTAGTGTGGTTTTTTAAAAGGCAGTTCCTTCTTTGGCGAAAGAAGCATCGAGTACCCTCGCGAGTGTCCATCTCTGGGAGTTCGCACATTCAAGGAGTCTGAGTGGTGCACCTTCTGCTCTCCATGGAGAAACTTTGGCTCTAAAGGTGTACCAGCTGCATCTTCCAAAGGGTGGGGATTTGGGGAAGGAGTCTGAGAATCAACCTGTGAGACTCTGCTTATACCACTGTAAGATTAAAAACTGAAGCAGGCAGGGCCCCTCCGGTGTGACTCAACAAGAAACATTTGAATGAAACTTTGTTGAATGTAATTGTTTTCAAGGCAGCCGTGCAAAATTCCAGCCTGAATTCTTAATATATTATAAGCTATTTATTGTGATTTTTTTTTACAAAAAAAACCCAGACTTTTATTTCTGATATTTGGAACCAAATATTTGTTTCTTTTAATAGAAGTATATGAACTGTTCTTAGTTTACTAAATTACTTTAAAAGAAAGCCAACATCTGCCTTAATTCACTTGGAGGAGGGGGAGTATTCTGTCTTAACTTATTGCTCTTTTTGGCTTTATTTATAGATACCTTTCTGTTGCTAACCATTTAAATGCTGGTGAGCATGACTTTTAAATGGGTTTGTCTGTGTTTCTATTTTCTTCAACTGTAATAAAATGTCAATAATAAATGGCAGGATTGCTTAGGGACCAAAGATCATTTTTAAACCTGCTCCTTTCTTCCAGCATAATTTCTTCTCAGGCGCCCTTTCACTTTTGGAAATGGTTGTTATGCCCTTTTTACGGAGTTGCATCCTGCATCCAAGGCTGGGCCCAATACGTTGGCAACCTCATGACCTCTGGGTACCATGCGGATGGAGACCCAGGATAAGGCAGCCCGGAGCCTTGTTGTCACTTCCTCCCTTGAGGCTTCTCTGTGCCTTTAACAAACCCCAATGAAAGCCAGGAGCGGCGAGAATTTCTCCTGGTCCCAAGGAAACCATGCTTCCTTTCTAAGACACAGTGGCAGAGACTAGATTTTCTGCCTGGAAATCTGGTCTCTGGCATGGGGGGTCAGGGGCATCATGGCGGGCTGTGAACTTTACACCTAGCTAGACGTTGGTGTCCAGGAGGAAAACAGGGCTGACTTGTTAAGCCACCGTCCCTTAAGGGGTCAGACCGAATGACCTCAAGAGTCTCTGAGCTCACCCCCCACCCCCAACCCAGTGACTTCCCCAAATTGAACTCTTGAGGTCTGTCTCATGTTTTCTCTTCCAAACTTCCCATTGTTTGTGGCTATAAAGCCCCTGCAATCCCGTCCTGCTTAAGGATTGGGTGGAGGGTGTTTGAAAGAGAGAGGGAGATCTTTAACCCCTCTTTCTCCAGGCTGCCTGTGGAGCTTTTCGATTTGGGACTGTTCCCATCAAGTGATGCATTGAAGGAAAACAAAGGGGGAGGGGTCAGTGGGGGGCTCTCAAGAGTTTCACTTAGTGGCCTAAAGCATATCACAGAATCCCACCCCTTCCTCTTTTTTTAAAGTCCTTTGTCAATTCAGAGAAGTGGGGGCTGAGCTTGAAGATGGATGGATGAGAACTGGAGGAGCCCACAGGCGCTCAGGGGCGCTTGGAGCATCTGCTGGGGTCCAGAGAAGCAGCCAGGAGACCCCACCGTGCTCTGTGTCTGGCAGGCATTTGAGGTGTGAGCTGTTCATGCACTTGTTTAATTCTTTTTAAATATTTGCACGCTTACTGTTTTTAACTTTTAAATACTGTTTAAATGATGCAAGGCACCTTGGGTCCTTTTGGGGAAAAACGCAGGATATTAATATTTCAAATAAATTAATAAGCTACCTCTAGCCCCAAGGAAACAGGGGCTGGGAGGAGGGAAGGCCAGACAAATCCCCCACCTCAGCTTGAAGAAGGACAGGGGGTGGGAGTGGGTGAGTGGGTGGGTGGGATTTGCTAGTAGTTTCTGAGAGTTTTGGGTCTCTCACCCTGCAATTTGCGTCAGACAAGGCACAGATGAAAGTGTGAGCCAAAGGATGCTGCACAGGAAGAACGTCCCTAGGAAGAAAGGTTTACTTATTAAGGCAACCAGGAATGAATCAGTCCATTAAAACAAGGGGGCTGTTTCCCCAGGTGGGTAAGGGGTCGAGGGTGGCCAGCCCAGTCCCAGAGAGAGCTCTCCCTCCCTCTCGGCAGCCAAGTGGGCACTTTCAACCAGCTTCACCGCCTCCTGCACCCTCTCATGGTTGTGGATCCAGTTTGCCCACTCGGACGGGGTTCACGCCCTTGGCTTAAAAGTGCTGCTGGGCAAGTGGAACATCTAAGTGGGGCACCTGATGAAACAGGGTGGAGAAGGAAAGCGAGGAGAGCCACGGCCAAGCTCCAGCCCAGGGGGCTGCCGGCTTCTGGGGGAAGGACCCACCCCCCCCCCCCCCCCCGACCCCTGCGCAGGGGCTTCAGCTGAGGTTGGGAGGATGGCTTGTGTTCAGGGTCCTGGAGGCAATCCACCAAGAGAAGCAGTGGTGGTGGTGGGGGCTGCAGCAAAAGAGAGGTGGGGGGTTTGCTGTTCCTCCTGGCTTGGATCAAAAGTGTGTGGGGGGGGTTCCCCTTTCTCCCTCCCCCCCTGAGCCTTCCTTTACTGTTCCACAAACCACAAGAGGACCCGTCCAGCTTTCTTTCGGGCTGGCCCGCCCCTCACTTCTGCACCCTTTCCTCCTCTGTTCATTCCAAAATACCCCCAGTTACACAGTGGGGGGGGGGGATGCTTTGTTCTTTTCATAGCCTTTGCCATCCCATTTGCCAAAGAAAAGCTCAATTTACTAACCGTCCTGTTTCCCCTCCGTATTATTTTATTTGCCAGTTGAATCACTTGAGTTCCCCTACGAATAAACCAAAGGAGCCAGGAAAGGGGTGGGGGTGTGCACCTCCCCACCTTTCAGGCAGTCTTTCATTCTTCTTGAGAGAGAAGGGGAGGGGGGGGGGTAGGGATCTCCAGCGCCACCCCTGCGAGGGCCCAGGCAACCTTCCCCTCCACAACGCCTGCCTCTTATCGGACACGTTATTCAAGGCTTTAAAGGAGCAGGTGCTGCTTCCTTCTCCGGCTTCTCCTCCAGCTTCCCTCATCCCAGAAAAAACGATGCCAAGCAAAGCGTCTGGGCTGCCAGAGAAAGTTCGCTCCATCCGGAAGACGCAACGAGGCCTCCTCTTGCAGGTTGGCAGGTTTCAACCTGGCCTTGTCCTCCTGCTGCCTTTCACAGTGCTTCCCGAAGGGTCATTCTTTAGCTGTCTGAGCGTGTTGGTGGAAGGAACAGCGGAGGGGGGGGACCCCATGCTCCTTCCTGGGAACTGGCTGGCCATCCAAGCCCCGTGCGTTGGCATCAAGGAAAGGAAGGTGGCTCCCCAGCCTGGGGCGGTAGGGGGGCAGCACGACCCCATGGTCCTCTTGCAGGGGGGCCTCTCCCTTCAGAAGCTTCCCAGGGACGGCCCCGCCCGGTCAAGGGGCACCTGCTTGACTCCCACGGGGTCCGCCTGGGCTACCCCCCCTGCTCGCGCCAGCCCTGGGTCAGTCCCTCTGGAGTTCGAAGCGGGGAGCGGGGGTCTCCTTGGCCCTCCAGGGCTCCTCCAGCCGCAGCCGGAGGGTGTTCCGGATCACCAGCCTCTCCAGCAGGAGGGAGCCCACGAACCAGACCAGGCTGTGCTCCAGGGCCACCAGGCCCAGCAGGTTGAAGCGGAAGCCGGTGTAGTCCCAGGGGCAGGCGCCCACGGCCCGCAGGAGGGCGCCCAGGCAGAACTGGCACAGGAAGATGCAGAGGGTGTAAAGAGTGCAGCGGGTGAGGAGGCAGCAGTCACCCCGCAGGGAGAGGTGGATGCCTTCGAGGGCCAACCCACCGGCGCCGTAGAGGAACAGCGGCCACAGGCCGGTCACCCCCGGGAATGTCCACTCGCCGCCCATGATGACTGTCGCAAACAGCATCTCTGCGAAGTGCCCGTGGATGGCATAAATGTAGGCCCGGCCCACGACGTGCAGGGGCTCAGGAGGGCTCCCCATGCTTGCGACCTGGACGGGGACAGACAGTCAGGCTCACGCCGAACAAGCTGGGCTTGCAAAAGTTACTTTTCCGAGCTGCCACTCCCGGAACCCCCGGCCAGGATGGCCCAGTGACACTGTAACTTCCCCTGAGTAACTTTTCCAACTCCTAAAAACAGAGTTCTCTGATGAAATGCTCTCCAGCAATGCTGAATCTTGCCTCCCACAATCGCACCGTCCTCCAGCGCACATCCAGAGGGTGCCTCGTTGGGGAAAAGCCAGGACAGAGGCCAGATCCTGCCACCGCCAGAGAACAACAGGGGCTGCTCAGATGCCAGAGGCTTCCTGCTGGGTGGTTGAGAAGGAGAGTCCTCACATCTGATGTGAGGTGGAAGGCCCGATGGCTTTCCAACATTTCGTCAATCCCTAGGATGCCCCAGTTAATTAGCAATACAGCAGAATGACCCTGAATATAAAGTAGCTATAACAACCGGGGGGGGGGAGGTTTCTGAGCTATGGCTTAACATGAGTTAAGGCTCCCATTGTCTAAGGAAACAGGGAATGTCCAACTCCCGGCTTTAGTGCTTAGAAACCACTTGTTCCAAACCAGGTTGCTACCAACTAATTTGTCACAAGATTCAACAATATTTTCAAATGTTCTTATTTTAGTATTTAAACTTTTGACAGGGTTATTCTAGAGTAATGGTAACTTATTACTTGCATTCATTGCCATCCATGGTTAGTAATTTAAAATGACAGTTCCCATAATTTAATGATTTAACAGATTGATTCATTAATAAATCAGCAAAGGGACTTCCTGGGAATGTTTTTACATGAACAATCTGAATTCCTTTGACAATGCAGGGGTAACACGAGGAGGACTCCGCATTATTGCCACCATTAACATCCTCAAACTTTTCTAGGAACCAAGAGAGGCCTTGGAGTCCAAAATATTAGGTCAGTGCCGGCTTGTGGAAGGCTTCTTTAGTCAGCCTCACAGGTGTGAAAAAGATCTGAAGATCTGCTGCTTGGAAAACCCACACACACACACACCCCACACACACACACAGACTCTGCACACACACTCCGAGACCCTTTGAGCCTGGTCCCTTGGCTGCCTTCCCTGCAGACGCCACGCAAGGGAGGGTACTTACCCCGGAGCTAGGGTTACGGTTTCCCCCCCAAGCTGCTTTTGGCTCCCAGATATGGGGACCACGTCTGGCCAGTCGAAGGAATAAGCTGGTGGCTACGAGGGAGAGAAGGAGGAGGCTGAGAAGCGGCTCCACCTCCTCCCAGGTCTGGAAGGCCACAGAGCCTAGTGGTTGGATTGGTGGAAAGGCACCACCCCACCTTGGATGGCTGAATCACTCCCTCCTGCCCTTGGTTTCCTCATCATTTGAAGGTGTTTTAATTACAGAGAGCGCTCCCTGCCTCCTAAAGCTGGGCTAATGAGCTACTGTTGCAAGTACGGCCATTCCCATCCCACGGCTTTCATGCTCTCCACCTTCTTTTAAACAATCTGCAAAGCTGAGGGAGAGGCTGGGTTTGGCCCCCAGGGCTGGAAATGGAGCCAGTCGGTCCACAGGGTCAAGTCCACAAGCTGAAAGTCTGCCCACCTCCGTCCTTTGGTGGGGGGAGGAAGGCCCTCTGTACCTGCTCAGAGACGCTTGCTCTTTAACGCAGGTGTTCCAAGACTGGTATCTGGCACAAGGATAAGATATGCTGGAATGACACCCACGGGTTGAGGGCTGGGACCAGTTAGACGGGAAGGCGGGAAGGCGTTCGCGACCTATTTCCAGTTCTATGGCTGCAGATCAGCAAAGTGGGGCAAAGGTGGGGGGGAATCATGGGCACCCCCAGTCAGGCCTTTGAGAGAGGCACAGCGGCAGGTGAACCGAGGGGTGGGGGTGGGGCGGAGGCCAACAGGATCTGACCCACCAGCCAGGTGGCTCCGTCTGCAACCTGCATCTCCGCTATGGCCCCCCCCCGGTCTCTCTGAGCATTCAGGGTGGGTCAGTTTGCCTTTCCATGTGGGGGGGTCAGACTGAAAGCCCTTGGCCTGCGCTTTCTGCCCGGTCCTGCCTTTCCACCCATGGAGCGCTTTGGTGTTTGGCTCTGCTTCCTGGGCCGCCATTGTCTCTCTTCACAACCACCCCCACACACACACAATCCAGCCCTGCTTAAAGGGATAAGAGGTGGGGAGGGGAGGAAGAGTGGGGGGGGGGCTGAGCTGTTTCTCTCCTCCCAGGCTGCTGGGGGAGCTTTGTGATCTGGGGCTGTTCCCATGAAAATTATGCACTGGCAGAAGGAGAGGAAGAAAGGCGAGAGAGCCGGGTGGGGGTGAGGGTGGGGACTGAGAATCTCTCCACAACCTTACAAAACATCACAAGGGACAAGACTCTCTCTCCCTCCCTCCCTCTCCCTCTCCCTCTCTCTCTCTCACTCACTCACTTCTTTTCCTTAAGAGTCTTTTGTTACTGCTAAAAGAGTGAAAAGGGCTATCCTGGACAGACGGACGGACAGACAGGAGCCTCTACCTCCCGCCCCTCTTTCTCTCCACAGCCTCCTGCAGCCGATGCCTGCGAGCGTGGGAGCCACGTTCCACGAGGCCTGTGGTGCCCAGTGGCATTTGGTGTCCATGGAAAAGAGCATCCGTGGCATTCATGCATGCATCAATGTGGAATCCATCCTCCAAGTCTGCACATGCTCAGAGGTCAGGTGGAGAGGGACGTGTTCATGTGGCTTTCGCTCCAAAACGCTCATGTTGGCCGCAGGAGTTAGGCTCCAAACACTCTGAATGTGGGCAGACGGTTCTCTCAATGGGCTGGGACGGAGGCCCAAAGGAGGTGGATGAGTAGCCAGGAGGGTGGGTGGATTTGCTTTGCTTCCTTGCATCCTTTCCTTGAACAAAGGCTCGGGCAGAAGGACCTTTCGGGGTCCCTCAGCCTTCTTGGCCATCACCCTCCCGCTCACCCACCGTCGGCTCTCCAGCTGCGGCTCGACCTCCCTCTGGCGGCCACTGGTGGGAAGGGCCGGCCGGCCGGATGGGCGAGTCGTCTCCAGCATGTTTTGCTCTGCCTCCCTTTGGTTACAGAACACTTTAGGTTCCCACCTGGGAGAAAGGCCGGAGAGAAGTCAAACAAGGAAACACACAAACACCTTTTCAGCTGTCTGTCTGTCTGTCTGTCTGTCTCCGGATGGGCGAGTCGTCTCCAGCATGTTTTGCTCTGCCTCCCTTTGGTTACAGAACACTTTAGGTTCCCACCTGGGAGAAAGGCCGGAGAGAAGTCAAACAAGGAAACACACAAACACCTTTTCAGCTGCCTGCCTGCCTGCCTGCCTGCAAAACATGATCTGGGCAGAGTACGTGGTTGACCTCAAGCATTTTTCTGCGTGAGAGGAAAGGATGCCGGAATCCATCCGCCGTCTGCCAAGGATGGCTCAACCTGCCTCAGCCCCTCTTCTGTCCTTTTGTCTTGGACACAAAGGCTGGATGACGGGGCCCTGACAGTCAGGGCGCGGTGACTTCTTCAACACAAACAAAACCAAACCTGTTGGGCAGAGTACGTGGTTGACCTCAAGCATTTTTCTGCGTGAGAGGAAAGGATGCCGGAATCCATCCGCCGTCTGCCAAGGATGGCTCAACCTGCCTCAGCCCCTCTTCTGTCCTTTTGTCTTGGACACAAAGGCTGGATGACGGGGCCCTGACAGTCAGGGCGCGGTGACTTCTTCAACACAAACAAAACCAAACCTGTTTTTCAATCAAGTTTAGCATGTTTGAAATTGATTTTTAACATTCCAGATACACAGCACATAGGGAATACAGATGTATAATTTTTTGCCCAGGAAGCGTGTGGTTTTTTTAGTTAAAAGGTAAGGTATTTTACTCAGCTGTGAGACAGTGATTTACTTCAAGTGTCTTGTAAAACTGATTGACTTTGAATGGTTTGGGCATACTATGTGAATGCCTCTGGCCGGTGTCATTTGTGTCTGTGGGCTTTGTCAAGGGAACAGGTGCCAGGATTGTGGGGTTTCGGCTGCCGGGAAACCTAGCAGTCTGATCTGTTTCATTTTGTTTTTTGCATCAGCAATATTGATCTAGCACTATCCCAGTTTGAGAGAGATAAAAAAGTTGAAACAAATATTAGAATTAACACTGTTGCAGTAGCAGCAGCAAGAGGCTGTGAAAGGCAGGCAACCTGAGGGTGGGGTAGCACAGGATAAACCCTCCAAGGCAGGGATCCAACAGTCTGCGTAGCCCCCTTGACTGATGCCCAATACAGTTTAAAAATGGATTAAACATTCCCCCAGGGGGACACACGCACAACAACGTGAAAAACATGGGACGACCACATGACTTTAAACGAAAAGCAAGATCCCCAACACGCCTTCCAATGCCTTTGTATAGTGAGACTGCACACTCCATCATGCGCCCATGAAGTGTCCCGTGTCAAATCAAGGAGCCAGTTCTAAAAGTTTTCATTGCCACAAAAGGAGTTACGTATTTTGTAAACTGAATGGATCTTGATTGCCTGATCCAACCCAAGGCACCTCAAAACATTTTGTGTTACAACACAGAGAACCCACAAACAGTTTTGGTTTGTTGTTTTGGTTTTGTAGGGGAGAATCTGTTTCCACAGAAGCTAAAGCGAAGATGGCAGCTGAAGGTCTGCAGGAAGAGGGGAGCTGGCAGGCAGGGGATTAACCGACGGGTGTCACCGCCCTTTCTGCGCTTTGCAGTACCGGCGCTTTGACCCTGCGGTCTACGCATGCATCCAGGACAACAGCACCATTAACTTCTTCCCAGCAGTGGCTCCAAAACCGAAGAAGGTGTGGAGGGCTTAAGCAGGCAGCCAAAGAGAGGAAGGGCTGGCAATCGCAGGCTGGATTCGACAAACAGGAGACTTTTCCTGGCTTCCTGAACTGGACCGAGATCACTCAGGCTTAAGTCCGAATCTGGAGGCGGGCCTCCCTTTGGGCTTCCGGGCCACCTCCAACCTCAGCCGGAGGGCATTGCGAATGACCAGCTTCTCCAGCAGGAGGGTGCCCACAAACCAGAAAAGGCAGTACTCCAGCGTCACGAGGCCCATGACGTTGTAGCGGAAGCCACTGTAGTCCCAGGGGCAGGCGTCGAAGAGGCGGAGGCAGTAGCCCGTGCCGAACTCCCAGAGGTAGACGCAGAGGGTGTAGAGGGTGCCGCGGGCCAGGAGCCCGCAGCGGTCCTTCAGCAGGAGGTAGAGGCGCTCAAGGGCCAAAGCACAGGTCCCGTAGATAAAGAGCGCCCAGATGCTGGTGACGCCCTGGAACTTCCAGTCCCGGTCCACGACGAAGGCCCAGACGGCTGTGAACATCACCTCCGAGAAATACCCATGGATGGCATAGATGTACCACCGGTAGAGAGGGCTCAGGGGCTCCCCGACACTCCCCATGGCCTGTGGCCTTCAGGTGGGAAACACGGATCAGAAGGGTGATGGGGAGAGGCTCCCTTGGCCCTGGAAAGCAAGAGCTAAAATGATTCGCATGCCCAGTCTCTGATCAGCATTAAGATTCCCCCTCCTCCGTAGCACAAAAAGCCCAAGGAAATGTACTAGGGCGACCCCATAAACTGGTAAGGAGTTACAGCAGGAGGAGAGCTTGCAAGCCCAGGAGAAGGAAGACCAAGCAAGAGTGGAGAGAGAGTCAACGAAGGGAGAGAAGGCCTTGAGGCTGCAAGAGCTGAGCAGGGCTGTGTTAATGACAGGATCTTGGCGGAGGCTATTAATTCGTGGTTGGTGAGAAGCCAATTGACCGCATGTAACAAAAGCAAAAACATAAACAACCCGTCTCTTGCTATACCTCCCCCAATACCTGGCATTCAAAGGTAGACTGCTTCTGAGTCTGGAGGTTCACCCATCAAAGCCACTGATCCACCTCCCCACTTTTCCATGGATTGTTCTAATTACATTCCTCCATGCCAGTTTGGCTGCCACCACATCCAGTGGCAGGGAGTTCCAGGGGTGAGTTCAAGACAACCGGTAGTTGCCTGACAGCCAACAGGCTGTGGAGACCCACCCCGTGCCAGTAGAGAAAGGGACACACTCACCCCGGCCTCGACCCTTGTTCACAGAGGAGAAGGAAAAAGTCAGAGAAGGCCTTCTAGGCAGGAGCTCTTCCCGGCTCCTTGCGGTGAGAGCAGCAGGAGAGAAGCTCCTGATCCCCACTCGGAGGGACAAGCAGTGCTCAGTAGACTCCCCGGTGCCGAAACAAACAGGTGCTGCTCCCTGTTTCCTGGGTTAGTCACTTCCTGGTTGGCCAAGAGGCCCTGCTCCTTGGTCTGTCCGTCCCTCCCTTGCAGGCATGCTGAGGAGATGGCCTCAGCTCACCTTTTTGAGGCTGGGGCCCTTCGTGGCCTCCTTTCCTTCCTGGCCTTCGCTCAGACACAGCCGGCAAAGGAGAGCAGCCCCCAGGTCAACACGAGGAAGGGGCTCCCGCAAAGGCCCCGATCCCAGCACCTCACTGTGGCTCCGCTCTGCAGGTTCTCCAGCTGCTGCGGCAGCAACGGCGCAGGCTCAGTCCAGGTCGAAAGGTGAAGGAGTCCAGGGAAGGAGGGCGGCCGGGCCCTCGTGCCGTGACCCCAGGCACCCTCCCGCGGAGCCACTCCGTAGCGGCCGCCGGCTGCGCCGAGTCTTTCCCTCCCCAGGGAGAGGCAGCAGGCTTTGGTTTAAAGGCTATGAACCATGGTCTAGGGTTGCCTCTGTCCTGGGAAGGAGCGCGTGCAGTTTCAGGCAGAAGGGCCTCCTCTTGGGCCTCCCTTTTGGGTGATGGGTCACTCCACCCCACCCCACCCCACCCCACCGCTGCCCAGTTCTCGGAGGTGCCCAGCTGGCCCTTGGCTCGGCATGGGGATCTCCCTGAGATCCAGCTCGCCTTCTCCATGGAGGAAGCGTCCCTAAAGGCCGAGGCCTCACCCCCGCCTGCCGTGGCAGGAATCAGCCCCCCCCCCAGTGGGCCCCAGCCAGGAGCCTGAGCTTCCTGAATGGCCCGGGAAGTGAACGGGGTTCCCACCCCGAAATCCCAGGAAAACAAATGTGTGGGCAAAGCAAGAAGAGCTGAGATGTCAGGGAAATGTTGGCCATCCGTCCAGGACCGCTGGCCATGTGGGACAATGGTGGGAAGGTGGGGAGCAAGATTAGTCTCTTGCAGCAAAAGCCAGAGAGGATCCTAGATCCAAACCCAGTGTTTTGATCTTTAAAAAGCCTTACTGCAGCCCTGGAGCATCACAACCTTCTCGTGGCCCAAGAAAAGTGTGGCCCCTCCCTGAGTTTTGATTATGCTCAAGAGCTACAAGGCTGCCTTCCGTCTCCACTTGCTTTTTCTAAAGGGTGCTTCTGTGGCCCATTAAGGCTGCGTCCCTTTTATTTGTCCATGAGATCAGATTCTGCGGAGTGCAGTTCAGGTCTCAACAGGAGGCACTGGCAGGATCTCCCGGGGATTCTGCTTTGGATTTTCAAAAGCCAGCCTCTCCAGCACACTCTATCTGGCCGTTCGGTGCCCCCGGGCACCTGAAATCTGTCTCCTCCCTGGAAACAAATTAGCACAGGGATTGGAATGACCTGGTTAGGTCTGTTTTACCAAAAAGCCACATGAGGCTTGGTCACCCTGTGCTTCCTGCAGGCCACCCACACGCTCCCTCCTGGCCGGTGGAGGCAGCCCGGCACGAAGCGCCTTCCCCTCCGTTTGTCTTTGACACAACCACAGCAATGGTGTCACATTTCACCCTGAGGGAGCACACCTTGGAGGGTGCACTTGCTCCGTGGTGCAGGAACAGGAGCAGACTCAGCCCAGAAGCACGGATCTTACATTTTAAGCACTTCTGAAAACTGGCATTTCTAAGTGACTGGGACAACCACGGAGTACGTAGGTGCACGTTTCACAGGAAAAGCCGCCAGGGTCCCCCTTCCTCTTGCCTCCTCCCCCCCCCTCCCCACTCAGAACAAGGACCTCCTGCTGGCTGCGCATCCTTGAAAAATCAGAACCGAATGGAACAAAGGCCCTGGGCTTCTTTCAGCATTTGCTTGAACCTCTCCAGCCTGCAAGGAAGTTGCATTAAAAAAAGTCCCTGCTTGTTCACCGACAAAACCCAGCCGGGGTTGTTCCAGCAGGTGAAGGCTGGCAAGTTGGAACCAGGTCGCTGGGCCAGAGTGGGAGAAAAGGAAAGAAGCTGAGATGGAGGACCGGAGCGCATTGCTGTCCAAGAATCAGGACAGGCCACCAAGTCGTGTCTGATTGATGGCCTCCCTTTCCGGGGTCTTCTAGCCAGGGAGTCTCCAGAGTCGTTCACCAGCTCCTTCTCTCGGGGACACTTTTGGGACTCCTGTGCAGCTTGTGTTCCAGGACCCACCTCCAGCTGGCACTGGGCTTCTCTCCCCGCCTGACAGCCTGCCCCACTCCCCCAAAGAGCCCCGTCCAGCTCATGCCCAGGCAAAGCCCTGCTCTGCTGAACTCACCTGGGGCTGTGGAGAGTCTCCAGTGGGGTTTTTGGTTCACACCAGGGACTCAGCCTGGCAGCGCACCAAGCAGGAGAGGTTGCAAAGTGCTGCCAGCCGTGGAGGGCTTTCCCTTAAGCCTGCCTGCCTGCCTGCCCTCCTCGCAGGTCAAGGGTGGGGGCGGTTCTCTGTTACGGGAGGAGAGCTGTGCCCATTGTGGGCAGGAGCCAGCAGGCATGGGGTAGAGAGGGCAAAGGAGAGGGAGGTGGTGAGTGTCAAGGAGGAACCGTACCCGCAGAGCTCTGATGGATGTCCGTGCTGCAAGGTCTCTAGAAGGTATCCCATCATCCTTGCCAAATGCAGGAACCTCAGAAGCACCGTCTCCTTCACTGGAAGTGGTCAGACAGGCCCCGGGTGGCGGCCAGTGGGGGCCCTCCAGTAGCCACATGGGTGGGACTAGATGTGGTCCTGACCCGACCAGATAGGCGGGATATATACTGTATATATGAATGAATGAATGAATGAATGAATGAATGAATAAATAAATAAATAAATAAATAAATAAATAAATAAATAAATAAATAAATAAATAAATAAATGACTCTTGAAGCCCCTTCCAATTCCGGGCATTTTGGGTTGCTAAGACCCCTGAAGCCAAAAGTTATCTCTGATCCAGAATTCACTCTGTGGCCAACTGGCTGGTTGTCCTTGAGAAGTCCATCCAAGGCTTCAGTTATTCTGCTCCACTCCATCCAGTCACCACTGACTCGTGGCAACCCCACAAATGAGTGACCTGCCAAAGGTGCAGTCACTAACGGGCCTGCTTAGGTCTTGCAAAGGAAACATGGTGGCTTCCTTCATGCAGTTAATCTACTTCACATGTTGTCCTCCTCTTTTCTTGCTGCCTCAGCTTGATTGTCTTTCTCATTTAGTCTTGTCTTCTCATGAAACACCCCAAATGCGACGGCTTCTGTTTCATCCTTTTCCCCTCTAGTGAGACCTTAGGCTTGATGTGACGGAAACCCCACTTCTATAAAGCTCCCTGCTTCCTGTCCAGGCCTAAAGAGGCAGGCTGTCTGGGGTTGGAGAGTGGCTCATGGACAGACACCAGTGGCCTCCCCGGCCAGGAGTCCAGCTAATCCAGGGGCTGGACAACTTCGGTCCTCCAGGTGCTCTCTGGCTCCCAAGCCAAGCAAAGACAAGTGTTGGTTAGGCTATTTAAAGGTCCAGGCACACCAAAAGACCGCATTCTGCTCTCAAAGCCTTCATAGAAGGCGGCTGCCTTTGGAGGTCTGCTTGGTGGAGACAAGAGAGCAAGCCTTGCCAGGAGCTGCCCAGATTAGGGGCTTCATGGCAAAAGGTGGCTAAGGTGGCCCCTTCTCCGACATCCTCCCACTGGCAGCCAAAACCGAGCTGATCTCTGGTTTGCCAGGGATTGGGGGGTCGGATTTCGTGGGAGAGCTGGACTTTCCTCTTGCTTGGCCTGAGACCCACATCCTGTGCTTCCATCCCAAGAGGGGAGGTAGCTGGGGTGGGGATGAAATTCATGCCTCAGGCCTCCTCCCCTACTCAAGTGTGTCCTCTGATGCAGAGCCTGTTCTCCTCGGCCGCAGCAGAGAGATGGGAAAGTGGTCCTTGATGTTGGCACTGTTTGATCAGGCAGGGAGCCCAGGGGCGGGGGGGGGGAGACGAGCACCTTGCCTGCCCTGAAGACGGGAAGAGGCATCCCGTTGAGGAAGAGTGGGCCCAGATTGTGAAAGGGCTCCGAGAGAGGAGCTTTGAGCCCCTCCAGAGCTGCCGAGGTGGATGCGCCAGGCCCTCTTGCAAAAGGGAGAGGGCGGCCGAGAGGTCTGCCCAGGCCGGGAGGCCGCCTGTGGGCACCAAGTAGAATGGGTTTCCTCCCGAGGTCGCCTTGATCCAGATCAGTGAGAAATTTACAAAGGAGGCAAGCCTCCAGCCTCTCCAGAGCCCTTGGTCAGACTAGCAGGCAGGCCTGGAGGGAGGGAAGCTTTGGCCTCCGAGGGAGGGAGGGAGGGAGGGGGGGCAGGGGCCAGGCAGGCCAAAGCCCCCCCCCAGGGGTGTCACCTCTCAGGGCCAGCAGGGTGGGGGCCATGGCAGCTGCCAGAGGGCCCATGGCCTGTGTTGCTCTGGCAGGCCAGGCCCTGTAGCCCCAGGAGCTGGCAGGACGGGGGGGGGGGGGGGGGGCCCGGGGGGA